TTTTTTTTTTTTTTTTTTTTTTTGATAATTGGAAAATATTCTAAGCACAATAGTAAAAAAAATTATCATTTTTATTGACAATTTTCATGTAAAATAAAGCCAAACAAATGATATTCGGTATGGTAATTTTTTTAGCGATTGGAACAAATTCTAGACCCAGTGGTAGAAACAATTATCACTTTAGTGAACAATTTCCATAAAAAAACGAAGTCAAATGAACACCAAACTTTTAACATTTTTCAGGTAGAAAATTATACTATCAAATACAATTAATTTCAATTCCCAGTAAAACAATTTCTAGACAATTCAATACTCTGAAAAATATTTTATTTCCATCCATTTTCCACATTTGCAATCAAACGGACTCTAAACAAAATGTAGATCTCAGCAAAAAATAAGTCATAAGTTCCTCAATGTAAAATCGAGAACTTTTATGATAAGTTAGCGTAGAAATTCTTTTGTGGTAGATTACCCAATTAATAATTGACGATTCACGACGTATGCTTTCAATCACAATTGAGCGAGTCAAATGGGCCCACTGCTAGTAGGAGATGCACAATTCTTTAATTGAAATTAAAGGGAAGCCATGCCTCTATAAAATGCGGCTAAAAAGAAGGAACATAAATTCAAAGGTCTACCATGCGCCAATTCATGCGCTATGGGTAAATAACTCATAGATGGATTCATACTGGGCAAAAAAAATATATTTACAAAGCCAAATTTGAAGAAAAACCACATGCTCAGCATGGGAAGGTTCAGCGGTAGAATGATTTTAAAGGCCTTGAATGCTTGAATAGGATTCGGTAAGCTTTTTGTCAAACTTAGGAGCCACACCGACAATCAAAATATCAGGAAAGATGGTATCTTCCAAGGGCGGAAGATTTACTAGGGCTCTAATGTCCCTTAAGGTAATAGACATTGGACCAAGCGGGAAAACAAATGTATTATATTCAGAAGACCAAAAACTCAAAACAATAGGAAAAAGCACTGGGTCGAAAATTGGGGGTTGAAGCGCGATTTCTAATACATCTGAAATCCTAGCGTGATAAAAAAATCGTCTTGGTAGGGCCATGATTTACCAGATGTGCATGCCACCTATGAAAAATAACATTAGTTTTAGGCCAAATCCGAATACCTTTCTCGCGAATCAGCCTCAATGGTAAAGAGTTCAGAAACGGAGGGCCTTGAGTACAAGAGAACAGCTGATCCACTGCCGTTTGTCCGATAGATTCAGCATCATTAAATGGTGGACCAAGATAAAACTCATGGTTGTGAGGTCGGGCTTATAAAATAGAGTTTGAATTTACATAGGGCCTGGTGAGGAGGTTTTGAAAATCCTTGAAACTAAGAGAGTTATCAAAAGGAGTTTGCGAAGTCACCATTTGATGCAAAGTATGGTCTCTGTGAGGTTTGCTTAAAAAATGTAGCAAGGAAGCAAGAAAATTAACAGTAAATAGTGAGGAAGAAGCACGAAATGTAGAGACGTGGGTTAATGGCTCGATGAAGTGGCGTGTCTTTTAGGTTATGAAGGTGTTACGTTACACTTTTCAGGTTGAAGCCAAATGAAAATAATGATTGAAATTCTTGAAAATTTCAAGTATTGTCGGAAAATACAAAAAAAGAATATGACAAAAATTAATAATTGACATTAATTCTGCCATATTGGGGAGTAATTGTTGACATACAAAAAATAAGGCCCAATTGAATGTGGCCCAATGTTGAAATGAGGTCCAATTATTGAGTCAGACCCAATTATGTGGTCCAAGAAATCGAGTCCGTTAGGGAAATTGAGGAATGGGCCCAAATAAGACCATTGTAAAATATAATGACAGCCCACGAGAAGAGAACTATCATTGCCCAAGCTTGCAGAATGCCCCGGATCTGAGCGAATGAAGTATCCCAATGTCTAAAATATAAGGACAGCCCACGAGCAAACAACTATCATCGTCCAAGCTTGCAGAACGTCCAGGATTTGAGCGAATGAAGTATCCGAATGTCACTCAGAGTGACGGTCTCACTTTCGCCCAAGCCTTCGAGACGCTCAAGGTCTGGATGAATATAGCAATTTGTTTAGTTATTGAAGCGATTATTGAACAATCTTATCACGTCCCACGATCTAAAAATCTTGATTACAAGCAGTTAAACAACAAGAGCACTAACAACAGTTGCTAACGACAGTTCCTTGACAAGTCAACCATTATAAAGAAAGTGGTAGTTATAGAGCAGTTTCCAAACAGTTTTTCAAGAGGAAATCAGTAAATGAGTATAAAAAGGAAAAGAAGACATAGAAGAAATGACCCCGAATCAAACACTCTCAACAGAAAATATGTAATTTCATTTCTTAGTTAACTTTAAAATATATCTTCTTAGTATTCGTGTGCTTGCGCTCCTTGGAGGCATTCTGTTTCTTTCCAGTTGTAATTTTCATCAATAAAATACCCCTTTTTGAGACTTTGTCTCAAGAAGTTTGTTTCTTACACAATCGTCTGAACCTTTCTTTTAATTGTTAGCGACAACCCACGCAAAACAGATATATGTCTAATTATTAAGAAGGACGCAAGGAGCTATTACGTATAAATCCCTATTTCTCAATTGTACATCTATTCAGCATCTCTCTAATACAATATTGTTCGACCATTTGAGGAAGATTGTAAGAGTGTCATTGTAAAGTGTGTCTTGTAATAGGGTTTACAATTGCAGTTTGTATTGAGGTGTTAATTGCGGAAAATAAGTCTCGCGAAATCCTTTAGAACAAGTTGTGTAAGTGTAGAGTGATGGACAAGTTATGTAGTGATACAACAACGAGTCCCAATTATATCTTAGCCCTGCTTGAGTGCTATCTTTTGAAACCTCATTTTCCTCAAATTCATTTTCGAGTATACATTGTCTTAACAAAATAGTTTTACGCATATATCCAAAAATATTTACTTTTTAACCACATATTCTTAAAAAATCACTATTATAAAATTTATTCTCCCAAAAATGGGGCTCAAACAAACCTTTAGTATCCAAATATGTGCTTAAGAATTTAGTTGGAAAGTAGAGTCCTATGCTGGCTTTGGTTGAGAAGTTGAAAGTTCATGGAACAAATATTGCGCACTATCGTATCGTCGATGTTTAAATAAAAATGTTCAAATGAGAATCACATTGTGATGTTTGAGGATCAATAATGTTTTCAGAGATTCATTGCAAACTGTTACTATCTAAATTTATTGCTGTATATTGCTATTTTTATATTTATCAAATAGTTGTATTCATTATCATTTATCATCTCAAGATACATTTTTATGCAGTATAATTAATATATTCATTTTATACAATGCCTAAGGATTTTTTTCCTTGTAGTCTTGGACACAACTCTTGTCGTCTGTAGATTAGAGAATGTATAATTATGAAGTAATTGGACCACTTGTCCCTTTCAAATGAACATAGATTTTCTAGATATTATTGTAACAACCTAAAAATTCATATGATTTTTTACTTATTTAATAAATTTCACCACCAAAATTTCAAAAAATAAAATAATGTTATACCAAATATTTTCAAACTATTTAATAATATTGTATAGTTATGCACAAAATGTATCGGACTTTAGTATTCTTATCTTACCCTATATTTAAAAAATAAGTCATCTAAAATTATTTCATTAACATTTAGTTCTCTAACCGATAAAAGCAATATAGTGTAAAATGATATTATATAATGTTTACTTAAAATACAGAACATGAGACATTCAGGAATTAACACTATGAAATATACCTTTTTTTAACGATAAACAAGCTAAACATGACTAATGAGAAAAACAAACAAACCAAGCCTAACAACCAGCCAAAATAACACGAATAAATCAACTACGAATATAAGCTACTCCAAGTCGATCTAAACGGACAAGTCCATGAGCAACTTTGGATAGCTTCATGTGCGAGTAAAACCTCTGTATATGCCCTTTTGCACCTAATTTTGCCAATGTACCTGTCACTTGATTACCTTCCATATACTGATGCATTGGATGAACCTCAAAAGGATGAATCTAAACCAATAGCTCTTCCCAAAAATCCCCAGATTCTAGATTGTGCACTTACGGTTTATTAGCCAATTAACAATAATTAGAGAATCACATTCAATTTCAACAACACGAGCCCCAAGTTGTTGGCATACCTTCAAACCTTCAATAATAGCCCTCAACTCTACTTCTGTATTAGTAGCCTCCCCTAATTGAGATGTAAAACCAGCCATAACTTTCCCAAACTCATCCCTAATAACACCCCCACAACTAGATGGACCAGAGTTCCCGAAACTATAGCCATCTACATTAAGTTTGACCCTACCCGCTATTGGCTTCCTCCAAGTAATCATACGAATTTGCCTTTACCGTTGCATCACACATGGAATGTCCAAATCAGACAAAATTCTAGCATCATGAGAAGGAAGGACATTAACCTTATTTATGGAAGAGGCCATCTGCTGCAACCAGAATTTTATAGATGTAACTGCTTCCTCAACTGATTCATATCTTCCCTCCATTTGAGCTCGACACCGCCTCGCCCACAAACACTAGGTAATTAGACAAGGAAGCATACCTAAAAGACAGCCCAAATGTGTAGATCGCTCAGCACAAGCCCACCATAGCTGAACCTGCTCCCACCAACCTTTTTTACTCTTCTATCGCACACCTAAATAATGCGATAATTTCCTCCAAACTTCATCTGCAAAGTCTCATGTGCTCAAGACATGATATGTATTTTCATCGTGACCTGCTAGATAGCAGTTACATCTTAAAGCTTAGCAATTCCCACTTTTCGAATACGAGAATCCACACCGAGGCTCCCTGATAAAGCTTTCCGCATAGCCATTGACACCCCGCTTAGGAATAGCTTTATTCCAAACCCACTTGTCCCAATGCATTTATGGAGCTTTAATTCTAAGCATAACCCAAGCACTTTCTCGAAGTGAAGATACCCTGATAGTTTCCATATCAAGATATCCTGACTAGTCTTGGAAGCATGAAGTTTTTGCATAATAATACCCACCACCTCTTCTCCAACTAGTTCATGTAACCCCTCAATATCTCATCCTGATTCCAAACACACATTTTGTATTCTCGAACCAGGCTAGTTAATGTTAGTAACTTGGTGGCATAAGGGGCCAATCGGCATCCAATGAGAAAACCAAAATGAGATATTTCATCACCTAGCCTTCCATTGATAGTTTGCAGCTACCTCAAGTAAAACATCCACAATATATTTCCAAAATTTGGATCCCCTTCTACTTAGTGTAGAGACATCCACCAAGCCATTTTTTGTGTATTTAACTCCAAAGAATCTCGTCCATAGAGAATCATTCGTCAATAACTTCCATGCCAACTTCATATGTAGAGACCGCTGTGTATTCTCAAACCTACGAAAACCAAGACCCCCCTCCATCACTAGTTTACACATCTTTTCCCAAGCAACCCATTTTTTCCTTGGCCTTCCATTCACCTCACCCCAAAAGAAAGATGATAGAATTGAGTTCAACGATTTAAAGACTAAAATATGCACGTGCATTACTGATAGTAAGTGTGTTGCCAAACTAGACAACACATGTCTCATTAGAATGAGACAACCTCCTTGTGATAGTAACTCCGATTTTCAGTCCACAATTTTACTCTTAATTTTGTCCACCAATCCTTGGAAATGTCGAGCTGTTAACCTGCCCAACACCAGTGGAACCCTCAAATACGTAAAGGGAAAATATCCCTCATGGAAGGAAGTAACTCGAAGAATCTCACCTTTGTGTGCTACTGTGCAATTCTTAGATAGAAAAATAGCTGACTTCTCTCTGTTTATCAATTGTCCAGACCACCTTTCATAACAAGAAAAGGTTTTCATAAGCTCTTTCATGGATTTTTTTTTACTGCTATTAGCAAAAACTACAAGATCGTCAGCATACAACAAATGTGAGACCAATGGTGCCCCTCGAGGATGTGAGAAGGTTCCAATTCGACCTATCTCAAACTTATGTCGTAACAATCGTGTCAACACCTCTTCCATAATAATGAAAAGATAAGGCGAGAGAGGAGCACCTTGTCTCAGACCCCCAGAGGATTGAAAGAAACCTTGAGTTGTGCCATTCATCATAATAGAAAAACAGGGTGTCGTAATGCATTCTGAAATCAAAGAACAAAACTATATAGGAGAACCAAATGATCTCAAGACATGCATTAGAAAGCGCCAATCCACTCTATCATATGCCTTAGCCATATCCACCTTAATCAACACATTACCACCCTGAGTCTTGCCATTCAAGGACCGTAACATCTCCTATGTGAGAATGATGTTCTCAAAATGCTACATCCATGTAAAAAGGCCCATTGTTCCAATGATATGATCATATGAAGTAATATCTTCATTTTTTTTACCATTATCTTTGCAATAATTTTGTAAGCCACTGAACAGAGACTAATTGGCCAAACTTGTCAAAACTCGTGGGATTCTCCATTTTAGGAATGAGAACAATATATGATAATGAATAAAACCTTGGCATAGCTTTCCTTGCAAAGAACTCGGCTGCCACCTCCACAACATTTTCTTTAATAATCTCCTAGCTATTTCTGTAGGAGGCTAAGCTAAACCCATTTGGACCAGGAGAACTGTCAAATGTATAGAAAGAATAGTATCCAACACATCCTCCTCTGTTGGTAACTTACAACGCTCAAGCCCCTCATTGCTGACAAATTTGGCACTCATCAATATAACATGACAAATTTGGCACTGACTAATATAACATGACAAATCAGGCAATTGAAAATCACGCTTCTCGGATAGAAACTTTTGAAAATAATCCACAGCCGCTTTGTGTATATCTTTAGGGGTTATTAACACCGACCCATCACAAAAGGTCATGGAAGAAATTCTCGTGCTTCGTCTTTTCTGTGCAATAACAGTATGAAAGAACATAGTATTGTTATCCCCATCACTCAACCATCTTTTCTTTGCCTGTTGAGAGAACCTTATCTCCTCTCTTCTTTGCCACTCCAAGAGTTCTATCTTAGACTTCAAAAACTCTCTTTCCACCTTCTCTATATAACCACTTTGAAGAACATTCTCCAAACTTTAAATCCGCTCTTCCAACTCTGCATAGATAGACTCCACATGCCCAAACACCTGCTTATTCCACATTTTTAAAGCCATTTTCATGGCCTTTAATTTTGCTGCTAGCTTTTGCATGCCCCGTAACTCTTCGGGATAGTCATAACCCTTCTATACTAGCTCAATTCAAGATTGAAAATTCTCATGTTCACACCTCATCTTCTAGAATCAAAAAGGAGAAGGACCGTACAAGTCGTGTTGATCTTGAAAATGAATGAGCATCGGGCAATGATCTGATGTACGCTTTGGTAAATATTTCATTTGTAATGTAGGATAAAGCTGCAAAGCAACCGAGTTTGCCAGCTTGCGATCCAATTTGGCCCAACTACGACCCAATACATCATGTCCATTGCACCATGATAATTTCCTCCTCACACATTGTACTTCCACCAGCCCACACCTATCAATGCAGTCATTAAATTCACCCATAGCTGCAAGTGGTCTTAGTTTTTCTCATATACATTCAGAGTCATGTCTTATAATGTTAAAATCCCCCGAGACTATCCAATGCAAGACACCAATCCGAATACTCTCCAACTCATGCCAAAGTTCCCTTCGCTCTAAAGCAGAACATTTTGCATAAAGATATACATTAACACATGCATGATTATGTGCACGATTTCCAAATATTTTTCTTATTATCAAAGTTTATATATTTCTCAATATTCTCAAATACTTTCAAATCCATATTTTTATCCCTTGAGGCATTGAATCCCCCTACTGTCCACGGTAAGATCTCAAATAATGATGTGCACGTCTTCCAGTACTTGTCAATTCTTCATTGCCTATCGAGACCAGTGTTCTAAAAAACTCGTCTAGGTACTGTTTAAGTTTGAAATTCGGGCAAAACGTCTATCGAGACCAGTGTTCTAAAATCTTGCCTAGGCGTTAGGCACCGCCTAGATTCAAAGCTCGGGCAAATTGCTTCATGCCTAGTAGGGCTGTAAATGAATCGGATATGGATCAAATATGCCTATATCTGATCTGATAATCCACAGATATTTGATTGTTAAATTCATATCCAATTTTGCAATGTTATCGGATATCCAATCCAATAATTCGATCCAAAATTAACAAAAACTAGGAAAAGAATCAATGTTGGAATCAAACCGTATATTAAACGAAAAACTAAAAATCATCAAATATACCGTTAAACCTGTCGGTTAACCGTAAACCGAAAAATCGGATCCCATTTTTCCAAATAAAATGATTTTATGTTCTTTAAAAAAATTTGTAACTAACTTGAGGCCCACCTGCTTTTACTAATAAGCACAATAGTGACTTCTACCATCATGATATACTTTTTTAAATGAGAGATTATCTTCTAATTTTTTATAGACATTCGATGTGGGATAAGG